TAAATTAATTAGGTTAAATTGGAAAAAGTAGTTTACACCTGTTGGACTGTCAATGTCGAGCAGACGAAAGGTATTCACAGCACTTATACTAATTCCATTTTTGCATGAGTGCATGCCAAGTGGCTCGGGAGTCATTTTAGGTAGTTGTACAAATAAATTGTCTAAACAATTTCTTGTCACAATTTTCGGAATGAACGAATCTTGTGAAAAATTGCCAATTCAAAGATTTCGATTCCTTCCAATTAAATCTATTCTTTTTCTAAAATGATGACGTTCGAATTGGAAGTTTTGGTGACGAATCTCGTATTACTTGTCCCGTTAAAAAGGATTTTGTGAACTCTACAAGCAAGAGTGCCTGACAATTTTTTGTCACAATTTTTGGAATAGACGAATCTTGAGAAAAATTGCCAATCCAAAGACTTTGTTTCCTTTCAATGAAACCTATTCTTTTTCTAACATGATCACGTTTGAATCCTAATTGAATCTAGCGAATCTCGTATCACTTGTCCCATTAGCAAGGATTTTGTCAATTCTATAAGCAAGATTGCCTCAATAATTAGGTATCAATTTTTGAAATAGACAAATCTTATACAAAATCACCAATACAAAAAATTCATTTGTCTTTAATTAAACCTTTCTTTAAAATGATGAAGTTTGAAATATAATCTTTGGTAGCGAATCTTGTACAATTTGTTCACTTGACAAGAATTTAGATGAGCGGCGCGCGGCGTGGACAGATCAGGTAGTGGTAAAACGGTGCCGATTATAGGCGAGGCTCGATGTGTTGGAGAACGACTGGTAGCCGATACGTATATCTATCCTCGCGCGTATATACGTGTCCGTCCCAGCCGCCCGTGACCACGCGGCCTTGTCCTTGTACGACGTCGACGTCGAGCGCTCCGTGCCACCGACACCCGTCGTCGTCGGTCGCCGTGGAACCTTCCTACGAGCAGCCGCGGCGGAGAAGAGAGAGACACGTACACGCTCGATCAGCCAGATCTCGGTGTTATGTGTACCAGCGGGCACGCGGACGTGTACGAGGCATGAACTTGCGAACGCATTTACGCGGAACGAAGGAGCCGTTTAACGCGGAATTACCAACGGATAATTCCTCTCCCGCCGACGGCGAACTGCGTCATCGGTAACCAAATCCCTCGCCTATCGATCTGAACACCCTTTACCTAATCACCCGCACGTCACTTAGTGATTATGTACTATCAATTACGAAATCGGTATTAGATGATCGTATACTATTAAATGAATTATATAATTTTCGTAAGAGCGGACTTATTGTACAATCGGAATTGTGTAATTTTGATAAGAAACATTGATATTGTTTCACTGCGGGCGCGAGATCAAAGGCGAATAGTATATTATTAGATACGATATTTTATGAATCGTCAAGAGAATTTTGTTCGGAGGACAGGCGGGGGACACGTTATCGCTAATCTCGCAAGGTTACGCAATCTAATTAGGTGCTTTCCGAAACTGTGAAGTCGCGAGAGCAGGGGAGATCTCGTGCTGACCCCCGCACGTGGTATACGATGATCCAGCAGTCGCGTGTCCGCGAACCCGAGAATTAGCAACGCCGATCGGGCGAAGTGTGAACGGGATACATTTCGCGGTTACAATTTCTTAGCCAGGGATTGGAATTACAGTAAGTAGTCGGTCTTAATAGTTTCTTCTTAACATTCAAGCGTATTCAGAACGTACGGACGAATGATAATATGGATAAGCTGAATTAACATAATTACTCAAGAAAAACGAACATAATATAGTTGTTGCCTATGTGTAGCATATACACTTGCCAAGGATGAGGTTTTTTGTTGTTAAAAGATGTTTTGTATTAGATGTTTTTCTGGTATTTGGTGTGCATGCGCGAAGTTG